CATCATTATCCAAAGCACATGTATGAAGACATGAATTGGTGTGAAAATACTTTATATACAAACAGAGATATGAAAAATAGTGCTCTATATGTGTAATAAAAATTGTAATGCATTCCATTGCCATGTATTTAAAAAATAAAATCAATTAAATATTTTAAAAATGTGTTACCCATAAGTAGCTTGTAGGGAAAAGCTACTTCTCTACTCCTGAGTTAGAAGATGTGGCACTTCCCGAGGCTGATGTTGCGGGATGATCCTCCTAAACTTCTGGGAAAAGAGACGGCTGATGGGACAGTGATTCAGGGAATGACTCCAGGATAAATGACACATGAGATCCGGCTGTCAGCCCACTCAACACCTGTAACCTTCATGCTTGAGCAATGTCTTTTTTACAGACAGATATACACAATGGGCTCCTGGGGACATGAGAAAACCTGGGAAAAACTAGAAGTCTCTTTCTTACTGAGTAGGAGATGACTTTCTCTCTGAAGGAAACCCAAGTGAAGACTTATGAGATGACTCCAAATGAGAGGGACTAAAAATGCACTCATTATCGGGGCTTTGTTTCATTGCTTTTGTTCAGTTACTGTAAGTTATCACTCACAGCATCAGGGCTTTGTTTGCTGTGTGGAAATTACCATTCCTTCCAGCTCAGTGACAAGTCACTGGGAAAAGGCTCCTCCCTCCCTAAAAGGACTGCTTGTAGAAAAGGATATTTGTAAGGGAGTCTGAAGACTGTAGAGGAGGAAGAAGAAAACCATTGTAACACTTCTTGACTCATTAATTAACTGACTGGAAGGGAACCTTTCTGAACCTGGCACGCCCTATCTGGATTGGATTTACTGCCACGGTGTTACTGGAGATTGGATAATTATGAATTTGAGAAAAGTGCATGAATGTATTAAACTAACTCTCTTCTCTCTCTCTCTTTTTGGTATCAAGTATCGAATCCAGGGTTTGCCAAGTTGCTTAGGGTCTTGCTAAAATTGCTGAGGCTGGCTTTGAACTTGAAATCCTCCTGCTTTGGCCTCCCAAGCTGCTAATATTACAGGCGTGTGCCATGGCACCTGGCCATGTCAAACTTTATATGAATGTTGTCAAGGTTTTAGTGAAAGGCCACTCCTTTGTAGACTGAAAAGGATAGTCCTGCTGTCAGTGCCCTAGGGAGAAGTTCGTCCTGGGAGTACTTGAGGAAACCCACCACCAAGCAGAGAGAAGGGGAACTTCTCTTCCCCCTGGACACCAGGGATCATTTTGGTCTAGAATCGAGGTTCTCTTTGGGATATGGAACATTCCTGTCTGGGTGGAATTTGATCTGGGAAGAGTGGGCTTGCCCTGGGAAGACAGGAGAGGTAGACAAGTATTCTGGGATGGCTCCTGCACTGGGCAGCAATATAATACTTATAGGTTACTAATGACTTTGGGATTCCCATTATCCCCAAGGCTTCAGCAATCTTTTGAAATGACCAGAAAGTCAAGGTTGTTTTCAGTGGTGCTCTGAGGAGCTAGCAGAGGGCTTCTAGTCACACCATAACTTTTTATCTTAAATCATATTTCAAAAGTGCTTATGAGCTAACAATCCGTGGCAGACTTTGTGTCACAAGAACTATTCAAACTGAACTTTTACTTGATTTTAATTTAAGTTTCTTTTCATATATTTCACTTTTCTTGCTAGCAAATTTGTTTCTGACATCATATGGTTGTCTGGGAAGTATTTTATAAAGCATTTCAGGTGGCCTACATTTGTCACATGGCTGACCATGAAAAGACAGAGATGAGTTAGATCTGTTGGCCTTGAAATGCACAAGGCTGCCTGGGTCAGTGGGCCAGGGGTCAGTTTCCACTTTGTAAGATCAAGTCAGAAGATTAAGTCCATGCTCAGAAATTCCTATTATCTTAGGCTTTTTTTTTTCCTGCTAAAAATGTTACAATTCCCTTGGATTCCTTGGTTTGTGCTATTTTTTCCCCCTAAAATCTCTTCTAGTTTTTGATCCTTTGTTTATTGCTGCTCTTATCTTTCACACTAAAACCAAAACAAGGGAAGATAATTTCACACTTTGGTCCATTATTCATTTAGCATAACTGGCTGTATTGCTTAGGGGACAGGATAATAAAATAAAGATATGTCTCATGCTGATTGAAATTAATTTTATTATAGAAAGCTTCCAATTTTAACTTCATTGAAACTGAAATTCACATTTTAAATACATTTTCAACAAACTCATCTTAAATTATAACCTACACAGGAAAAATATTAGCAGTTTCATTTATCTTTAGCACATTTTTAGGTTGTCATTATAACTGTGTAAAGATTTTTCTCTAATAAACATGCATTGCTTTATAATAGAACTTAGATTAATATACTCATTACAGACAAGTAATTGCCTTAACAAAAGAGAAAATTTCAAAATAGTTTCTAATACTACCTTTGGTTATTTAACAGTCATGTGGGACCTGGATATTTGGAATATGAATTACAAGTATCTCTAATACAAGTATCTCTAATACAGTGTTTCTAGAATAGATTATTACAACTTTTACTTTGTAGAAGCTAAATGTGTAAGCTTAAAGCAGTTGACATGTAATCAGCAAGCTTAACAATATCCTCTTTCAGACAGCATAGCCCAGACCACCAGAGGACAGTAATTTTATAGTTTTTGTCACTTGGAAGATAGTCTTAATCAGGTTAGATTAGTTAACTTGAAGATACTGTTGAAGTCATAAGAAAACTTAAATAGAGAAAATTCTATCAAAAACCATGTGCTATATGAATACTAAGTGAAATCCAAATTAAGTTATAAACAGGTTCATTAATAATGTACAAACTCACTGAAAGTGATCAACTCTGTAACAGCACTTAGCAACTCTTTTTACATACTGAGGACTTCTACTCTGTTTCTATCAGAATGAAATCCAGTTTCTCAGCAAGGTTGGTTAGGAGTCTCATTTTGGCTGGATTCCCAGCCAGAATCTGGACAGAATGAGATTTTTTTGACTCCTGCTTCCTTGATCTAAAAAATGATCATAAGTCTCTTCAGGGCTCCTCACATCCTGCTCCTCTTCCAGGAAATCCCTGGAACATTCTCTTACCCCTCCCACTTTCTCTGTTCTTACCTCAGGTATCTTTGCTTCCTCAAGGTCTTCTTCAGATGAGTTTGAGCCTCTATTCCAAAATTTCCTAACATCTTAGCCCTTTACTTTAATTCTCCAACCCCTTTGCCCAACCCTTTTCTTTAACAGTTGCAGAGAGATTGTTGGGTGATTGGTGTTGGCATCTCCTTTCTTCATCTGTGTTTCAGAGAAGCCAATTCCACTTGTGTTTCCAAAGCTGGCTGAGGCTGAAAGAAACTTTGAGAAGCTATCTCTGAGGTCATGGGCAAAGGTAAATATTTGGAGGATGGGAAGTGAAAATGCTGGAGTGGAAAGAAGTCTGGAGCCCTTTCTCTGAGCCTGGAAGTTCCTTTCAAACTGATTTCCTCTGATGGTTGTGTCAGGTGCCGCAGAGATGAAACTGGGGGTGTCTGAGTCCTGATAGCTAAGATTCAGGAATTTCAGGGAAGCCCCAGTCCTCCTGGAACACATGGCTTAGGGGTCTAAGGTGGAATGAATGAAGACCATCATACCCTTCTTTAACGATTCTGGACTGTCCTAGGGTTCTCACCGCCAAACTTTTGAATGGTCTTTGAAGAGCAGCAACACATCTCTGAGATGGTTTTGCTCCTGTATCCAGTTCGTAGGGGATTAGAAGACATAAAATTCAGTTTAGAGAGAACTTAAGGAATTATCACCTGTACTGTTATGAACTATGCATTGTATGCTCTGATGATAGCCTTCTTTCCTCCTAGATTGCTCTGGGCAGTTCTGGGTTTCCTTTCCTACAAACCTCCAGGTAAGGCCTGGTGGACTTTGGAACTTGATAAATACTGAACGATATTAAATTTGAGGGCCTCATTTTCTAGTAGGTTTTGGGCACCAGATTTTCCTTCAACCACAAACTGAAAATATTCATCTTAGTACAATTATGGAAGTAAGCACCAGATACTAATATACACATCTAAGGACATTTTTTTTTCTTAGAAGATTCATATAAGTCCACGAAACTTGTCATTAAATAAGCTCTTAGTATAATCACTATCATTTTGGGTGTGTAAAAAAATGATCGGATCTGAATTTCTTTTCATTGGTTTTAATATCTGGCACACCAAAATGCCAGTTTATTCATGCCACTTGAGATAATTTTCCTTCAGTCCTTTATAGTGGCCCCTTAGACACATTCCAGAGACAACACACACACACACATATATATATATATATATATATATATATATATATATATATATATA